GCATATACTGTGTGTATGTGTGTGTGTGTGTGTGTGTGTGTGTGTGTGTTGCTGATGGTGCAGTGGTTCACACGCCTGACTTGTGAGCAGTCAGCGTGGCATTGGTTCCCACTCAGTAACGGATGTGGGTGTGAATGGTTGTTCGTTTCCATCTGTGCGCCGCGACTGACTGGCAACCAGTTCAGCTAAAGTTAGTTGGGATAGGCTCCCCAGCACTTTGGTCTTCATGAAAGTAGTCTGATCTGGCACTTGGAAGAATCGCTTCAAATGAAACCGGTACTCATTTTACCCTTTACATCCCTAGTCTATATGATGTATGATAGCATGATGGTGCTACTGTTACAAATACACCCTGAAGAGATTAGTTTTGATTGATTGATTTGTTTCTCGATACATTATACATAGTTGAAGATCCATCCATCCATTTTCTGATCCGCTTTATCCTCACAAGGGTCGCGGAGGATGCTGGGACCTATCCCAGCTGTCTTCGGGCTGTAGGCGGGGGACACCCTGAACCGGTTGCCAGCCAATCGCGGGGCACACAGAGACAAACAACCATCCGCGCTCAATCAGCCTGCCATGCATGTTTTTGGAATGTGGGAGGAAACTGGAGTACCTAGAGAAAACCCATGCAGGCCCGGAGAACATACAAACTCCACACAGGAAGGCCGGAGCTGGGATCGAACTGATGACCTCTGCAATGTGAGGTCGACGCGCTAACCACTGGCCCACCGGGCCGCCCATAGTTGAAGATATTTGGTGAAAATGTGTTAATGCTGAGAACTACTGTACATCGTAATCACTTGTGGAGATAGAGTGTTTAACTGTTTTTTTTCCTTTTCAGTATTAGGGACCAGCAATGCACTTGGCCCTCTGGCATGAGTTGCCCCTTCCCAACTCTAAAACAACTTGAGCGCCATCATTCAGCTCATCCCACGCAATTGTGAGAATATTAGTTCGAATTATTTGGCCCATTTATACCACTCCAGTGTGCCCTTTACTCGGTAGCTTTGCCTAAACTCCAAAGATGCATCTTCTTCAGCTACCTCTATTTCGAGAAAAGCATGGTGTCATTATTTGAATTCCCTAGCGTGATATATTTTGTGTTATTTACGCTATTGTAATATGTTGGAACGCAAACCATTCTGGGTGCAAAAATAAGCAAAAAGTATGTGCTTAAATGGCTGTTATGTAGTGTGACCCACAGGCTGAGTAACGTGTGCCGCCATGTTAAATAAATCGGTGATTTTCTCTTTCGTGTTTTTTTTACAACAACAAGCAAGGAGGTGACGTAGATAGATAGATAATTAGATAGATAGATAGATAGATAGATAGATAGATAGATAGATAGATAGATAGATAGATAGATAGATAGATAATTACTCTCATGTAATCTAAGCAAGAATAAAACAATGTTTATGTTCCTTGGGTCCGTGGCTCAAACATGTAAGGTTGTGAGGGATGTGTAGTCACACCAAAGATGCTGGACATAGTGATAGGTGATTGACAGGTTGACAGTTGACAGCGCGGTGTGGTTTCAGTGCAAAGGACATCCCCACAGCGCTTGAGAGTGGAGATAAACACTTGATTTATCACCATTTTGACGTCTCATTTTATAGACTTGGAAATTGTTTAAAACATTGACAGGTCTGTTAACAACACTGTTCTCTGCGGTGTGTCAAATTTACAAGACAATTATTTTGACTTTACAACAACTTTAAATGGAAATGATGAAGTTGCCCATTGTAAACAGATGATACTGGTGACTTGCCAACATCTTCTGTTTATCTGTGGGCGGTTAGCATTGCACACTGAGCCTTTTAGAGTGTCCTGATTGTAATTCAAGTTTTCAAAACCGGCATTTTAAAAATCAATTTCACTCACGACGTCATACGGTAAACTTTTACGTTTACATTTTGCTGCAGTCACAGACCAATTGAAAGAATGATGTCACGTGGTTTTCTTATGATGCATTTAAATTCTGATGAACTGAACTTGAAAGGGGAAACAGACCAAGTGTACAAACTTTCAATGAATTATAACCAGAGAAAACAGACTCTCGTTACAGTTTGTGAAAGCATCCGGGAATTCACATTGCTACAACTCCATTGGCCCAATACCCAGAATCTTGATTTTGCCTTTTCCCTGTTTCTCCACTTGTCTCATCTTTAGTACTACACAAATGTGGGGTGAAGCTGTACAGGCTCACACGCTCACTTGCTTAGCACCAACCAATCAAGGCCGACTTCCTGAAGCTTTCTCATGCTTTTTGGGTTCTGATTCCTCTTCCATAGAAGTCTGCTGTCCCACCGGGTAACAATATCTGCCTTCTAAAGTCCATGATGGGCTAAGACCAGCAAACAAAAGGAGAGGGGGTGAAGCAGAGGAATGCAGGGGGTCTCAAAACTTTTCACTTTCCACAGTGCCCTTATTCACACTTGACGTACATTCATTTCATTCGACATTCACTTCATTTAGGCTGCCCTCTGCAGATATGCCACATGACATTGAAGGTAAACCCCACAACACACTCTTTCACCACTGTATAAGATCTTGCTTTTGTAATATTTTTTTTTTTGCCCATACTGTTAATCCACAAATCTTCCTGTTCCAAAATTAGGGTATATGCAAAATGAAGGTATTCCAAACTACGATTGCATGGCCTTGTGGAAGTCTCCTATCTGACACAGTTTAAGTCCAATATTTTTAATTATTATCTGTTGTAAAATTACAACACAGTGATCCAGTCATGACTTTTTTTCCACTGGCTGATATGCAAATTCGTACGTTTATTATTACCGTATTGTAATACTTAAGGGTATATGCTAGAATGAAGAATTCCAGCCAATCATTTCATAATTCGGGCAAACAGCTCCGCTCTTTTACTAAAAATGCAACGCCTCAAAATAACTTTAGTACTTCGACGTCTACTGTAAACTGTCGGATGTCAACGTTTACTTTACTTTAATGTAACTCGATTGAAAAAGAACGATTCTTTGCAGTTGTATTGAGTGTGAAATAAAGAAAGTTCTTTTCCAAATAAAATTGCCTGAGGCCAGAGTCACTTACCGGGCTTGCCGATATTCTGGAAGTAAAGCACCAGGACCACGAGAGATCCCAGGCACGTCGCCAGAAACAGGCGTCCTCCTCGGGGCATCCTCATTCTGACGCCCGGCCGGCTCAGCTGCTGGCGGGTTCCTCGGCGCGACCCCCTCGCCGCTGTCCTCTAGCCTCGACCCGGCTCTTAAAAAGAAGGCTCAACTCGCCGAGGAACCGGCACCCTTTCGGAGAATGAAATGGTGCATAGAACGGCAGTGAGCGGCCATCCGAGACAAGTGTGGGCTGCGCTTTTTAACTGTTAAGTCTCCAAGTGTGGGACATGAGTGACTCACTCACTGACGCCGTGTCTATGTGAAAGACGTCCAGCTAAATCGCTTTTTCAGAATACATCGGGAATTAGTATTACGGAACCGAACGGTTAAAAAGCACGACTCTTGTTCGCGAATACGGTTTCAAACGCCGAATTAGACGTTGGAGTCCAGTTTGTTCAAGTTTTAAGAACTACTTCTTCGTCAAAGATGGAGGGGCTGTGGGAGGTGACGTCACAGCAAATCTTGCGCGTATACCCCCCCTCTTGGAAACTTTCATTTTAAATGGTAGCTCTCTGGTCTCATTACATTCAATATTATTCATCTACTGCCTTGTTTCAACAACCCTTCTTTCAAATCCTCCGTGCCCAGTGTGTGTCTTTATTGCATATATTTTTAATATTGTAATTTCGTTCAGAATAATCATCGCAGGAAAAAAACTAAGGCTGAACCCAATGGGTTTTTTTCGAACGTTACTTCATTTGACTTTGAGGGGTGGCGGGGGGAACTCCCATCAAATATTGTCACACTCTGACCATGATAAAACTCGGTGAACTTTGCAGGCAATTTCATAACTAGTTTAACATTAGTTGAAGAAATATTGACGAACTATCAAAATAATTAAAGAAAAAAAGAAAACACTTTAGTGACCAGGGTAAATCTCAGGCAGCGTGTAGTGTAACTCTGCAACATCAGCTGGATGCAGATCCGTCCATCCATTCATTATCTGAAGCGCTGTCTTCGAGCAGTGGGTGAAGTACACCCTGAACTCGTTGCCAGCCAATCGCAGGGCATACATTGACAAACAACCACTCACAATCACACTGGGGGACAATTCAGAGTGTTCCATTGACCTACCATGCAGGTTCTTAGAATGCGGAAGGAAATTGGAGTACCCAGAGAAAACCCACGCACGCACGGGGAGAACATGAAAACTCTACACAGGAAGGCCGGAGCCCGGAATCGAACCACAGACCTCTTTACTGTGGGGTGGCCGAGCTAAGTCATCTACCATGTCACCTGGATGCAGATACAATGTTGGTCATTTTGCAGACATGCAAATGTTGGCAGATCTGTGAGAGGGAGGGATGCGCCTCTACGGAAAGGGTAACAGCTGCCGTCAATCATGTCCAATCATAATAATAGTAGTAGTAGTAATAATGTGTTAAATAAATTCATTTCAACAATGATTCAGAGGATTTGATGACCGCTGCTTACTTATTTATGAATGGAATAAGTCTGCCATCGACCACACATGTCCGCGTAGCTCACAATCTGTCTTGCCTATTCATTAGACCAGCTGTGACATTATTTTGACATGGTTTGAGTGGGTGTAATTTTATACTTTCTAACACCAAATGGTCTCTCCATCGGGCAGATCTACAAGGACAACCCTTACTTCACCCAAATGCCCAGCTTGATCCAGACAGTCCTCAAAATTGGCAAACACACGCGGCAAGCATTGCGCTTGTACGAAAATCACTATAAGGCAGCATTTACATTCCACTGCAGATGTGCCTGTCTTTCAAAATAGGGGCGTCGGGGTCTCTTTATTCTCCCGCAAATGCATGGGTGAAAATGGGTGCATTACATCATGTGACCAATGCGTTGCGTCACATGGCTCTGCACTTCACATGCATCACATGCCACGCATACAACACAAAGTGTCGCAGTGTGCAAATGCCGTGCGCATCATCTCTCGTGATTGGTCTGTTTTTGTCACATGCTGTGACAACGTACTCAGCTTTCCCAGCACCTGGAGTTACTGTCTTCAGAAAGTCTGAAATCTTGAGGTGATGACAGACTCAGACACGACTTTCATATCAAATCAATCACTAAAACAGCCTTTCATCAGCTGAAACACAAATCCACACTGAAGGGTCGCAGGCGCCTAGCAGACTAGGAGAAATTTACCCATGCTTTTCTTCCAAGTAGACTTGATTTTTGTCATGGTCTTCTTACTGGTGTCCCTAAAAAGAGCATCAAAAAGCTTCAGCTCATTTAGGACTCTGCAGCTCGTGTTCACTGTCCTCTTTGTGTTGAAAGCAATTGTGGTTCCCCTGACACCCATTTAATTATGTGAATATGGCAACCCGCAACAGCTGTGTGAATGACATAGCACACTTCAGACATAGCAGTGTCCCGCTTTGGTGAGTTCTGTCTGAAAGGCACAGTCGTATTATTAACTGTGGTACGGTAAAAAGAAAAAAAAAATCTGTTTAACTGTGGAAAACTGGTGGAGCCTCACAACTACAATAAGCTACGTATATTGACTGTCTTATATGCTCATGTTATCATATAAGATGATCTTATAAGTCGCACACATAATTTGTGCTTCAATATAAACCTCACGCGTGAAGTAAGATCTTAACTACAATCGACACTGCAAAGTGATCTTGACAGAAACAGAAAGTGAGCCATATTCTTTCGTTCCCATATAGTTTCTCTTTGTTTATTTTGATTTGTAATAGTGCTGAGGAAAACCCCAAGAAGGTGACCAAAGCTAAAATAAAACAATACGATGTAAAGGAGGGAACCACTGACAAAGAGATGTGGTGTGTACTGTGGATATGATTCCACATTAGTAATATGCGCAATACATGTAAAGTCTCCAATCAAAAGAATCTGGTTTCACTTCGAATAAGGCGAATAGTCAAGTAAACAGCTTGCAACATATACTGAAGGCAAGTCTGAGCAAGCCAATACATAATGACGTAGGTTGGGTGATTCCGTATCAAGACATGCAATGAGGAGCCTTCAACTTACTTGTGGGTGATGGAATTTTTGGGTGGTAATGTGCAGTTTCCTATCTGAGATGCACAGGTTGTACGCTGCAGTTAAAATTTCACTCCAGCACAACCCTCTGATCTCATATGGGTTTCTATTTATGGGCCGGGATGGCTGACCCAGTGTTTAGACAGAACCAGCAAAGCTAAGAGACAATGATAGGGCCTTCAAACAGACTGAGCAACATGAAGGGACTCTTTCCCGTAAATGAAACTCGATTATTTTTAAATCTCAGAAAGTGTTTGATCACGAGCCAGTTGACTCGAGGCTGTAATACATTGACTGCATCGTATCAAAAAGTCTCAAATGATTCAACTGCTCCAGGTCAAAATGCATTTGTAAACCTCACATTTTATAATAACCTCTTTAGAAGTCTTCAGAACACGCGTTTGAAAAAGAAGTGACAATGACCTCACGACAGTTCTGAAAATGTCAAAATACAAAAAAAAAAAAAAAGCCTTCCACAAACACCATATCATGAAAAAAATAACCACTCACGGAAATGGCCGTGGAAATACACATACACCCACTAATCAGCATGACATCAATACAACCAAATGGTTCTGCCTCTGTCAACTTCTATGCAGAGAGAACAAGCTGAGCATATGATTAGCCCTAATTCAAACGTGTCCAACCGGACCATACTTTCCCCTCATTACTAATTGAATGACTCACTATGTTTATCGGTTGGAGTTGTTTCCAGGACTGTATTTGCTGTTTTATGTCTTTTGTCATGATGGCGCAAAATCTGTGAGGGGCAGGGTACACCATTGATTTGTTTTCTAAGCAGCACATGCTTAAAAAAATATTACAAATTCAAAACTATGTCCTAGACATATTCATTACAGTTTAGAGTTCAGCATTGAAGTGGGCATTGTTTGTTGACAGTTTATTAACTTTAAATATTGCCATTGAGCAGAATGAAGACATGTACTTAATCTAGTATGCCCAAAATTTTCTGTGTGACATCACAACACTTATACACAGTTGTGCTGCTCATCCGACTGGAACCTATCCCAGCTGTCTCCAGGGTACACCTTGAACTGGTTGCCAGCCAATCGCGGGGTACACATTGGCAAAAAACCACACACAATCATGCCGAGGGGCAATTTAGAATGTTCTATTAACATGCCATGCATGTTTTTGGAATGCAGGAGGAAACCGGAGTACCAAGAGAAATACCATATATAGGCTCGAGCACCTCCCTGACCGTGTTTGCAATGTTTGCACTGCCTAATATATAAATATGGTAATCATTTTTTTATTAAAAGGTATGAAGGATAGTTAGGTGTAAAATCTTTCTTGACAAATAAGGCAAAAAAACCCCCCTGATTTATGAAGTACTTCAATGCTCTCAGTGTATATTTACTGTTATACTTGCTGTTATATTGCTTTAACACACATTTAAGGAGACATGTTTCAGGACTTACCTATTAAAGCTAACCTATTAAACAACAGAAAATTGTTACAATCCTGACGCTATGCATTTGGTATTTTAACATCTTCTTAAAATCGGTGACTTGCTCGGACAGGTGCGAGTACATGACCTCAACATTTTACAGCCCTGATTTCATGATGCACTGATGCTCGATTTAAACATTTTCACACGTCTTCATCAAACAATGCACTGACATCAATAAAGTAGGTACGAACACGTTTTACTAGCCCGTTGGTAACCAAGACAAACAGTATTTCACAACAGCTGGCTCTTAAGTGAACGCAAATGGGCTATTAGGTGTCTGACATGTGAGCCCTAAGAAGCCATAAAAACAAAACAAGATGACAACAATATGCTTCAAGATTTTATCATGTAATCGTCACTCGTCTGTACGTATATTGGGAGGCTATATTTCTAGGCGCAGTTATCCACGTTTACCGCCTGAGGGCAGCATTGTCTACAATAAACAAAACAGGAAGAGATGCACAAAGACGGTGAATAGGATAAAAAGGAACAAACTAACATTTCACGTCAAGGAAATAACTCCATAATTTCTTTTTAAATTTAATGTATTAAAACGTTTTAGATAACTTTCTTAAATTTTAATAAATGTATTTTGTTTAACTTTACAACGATTATTTTTTTTAACATTAAAGCAAAAAGCTTTTTATTTTGAGACAACTCCAATTGTCTATTTAGTGTTGTTGCTCAACACGGGGTAATTTCATATTATTAACATTGTATATATCTATATATCTATATATCTATATCTATATCTATATATAAATAACATGCCTGTAGAGAGAGTAGAGTTGTTATTTATACGGTGGGAACTGAGGTTGTCACAGCTGACTGTAGTTCAGGGAGTTATAGAATTTTAACATTTAAAGTCGCTCAGTGCGGTTGGCACTGGTTAGCACATCCATCTGCCTCACAGTGCAGAGCTCATGGGTTTGATTCCAGGCTCCAGCCTTCCTGTGTGGAGTTTACATGCTCCCCTAG